GCGGAACATTCAACATCCAACATATTTTTTCAAACAAAAGCACTAAATAAGAGAAGGCAAAGATTAAAAAATTAAAAAAAAAATTAAATTAAAAATAAAAATAAAAATAGCCCTGCCGTGTCCCCGCCGTGTCCCATGCCGTGTCGCCCATATGGACACACGTGTCCCCGCCGTGTCCCTGCCGTGTCCCCTGCAAAAAAATCATTAAAATTAAAGGGACACGCCAATCTGGCGTGTCCCAATACGTGTTCCCGGCGTGTCCCGTGTCCCCGGCGTGTCCCGTGTCGGACACCGCCACGGCACTAATTTTGGAGGTGTCCATGCTTCATATAGTGGGGTTGTGGTGCTGTCCATTCGTGCCCTGATCTTACGATGTTTCACTTATGTTTTTGGGTCCACAGCAACATAAAGCGGAAAGTCAGGGAAGTGGTGGTTGACCAACTGGAGTTTTATAAGTCGTGAGCATCCCTCAATGCATAATGACACCAGCTAGTGTTCTTCCCATCGGGTCTTGTATATCTACTGCTTTTTCTCTAAAACAGCGGACGTAAATGCAGAATGTCCTCTCCAAGTCGTTGTGTTTCCCTCTAAGATGAAGGGTAGTTACCTTGTCTTCACGTAGAATAACTTGATGTAAAAAATTTTTACCAAGTCTGTCCCATGAAGAAAATAAGAGCAGCGCAAGGTTGGCATACCACGAAAGAATGCTCAGATCTGTTGAGGATTTGGAGAATTCCCTTATGCGAAGGTTGGTCTTCTCGTGAGCTCCAAGGGCGTCAAGAAAGCGTGAAACATGCTCTCGTGACGATTTCCCTTTTCGTTCCGTCGAAACGGAAATTTTGGTACTGTATATCTCCACCGGATATGGAAGACTTGCGATGTGAATAGGGTAAGGGGGACGGAAGGTCAATTCTTAAAGGAGGCAGGAATTGACCATTTGTTCGTCTGAAGTAGGCTATTTTGTGCTCTTTTACGACCTCCATGTTTAATGGCTGGAAAGTTCTGATTTGCTGGAAGAGTGGAGAGCCAGTCAAGCCACTGCAGTGGGAGCTCCACTAATGGACCCAACTTGTGCTAGGGGTGTCTGGTCTGGGGGCTAATGGAGGGAGCGAGGGGCTTGTTTGTCTTCGCTTGGGTTCGCAGTCGTTTTGCGTAGCGAGGTTGGCTTCTAGCCATTCTGGGCTAGTGGCGAGCGCCTTTTGAGAATGATGTAGGAGGGTTAGATGATGATAGGAGCGTAGGTGCCTTTTGTAAGGCTAGCAGGGCGTCCATTAAGAGTTGTTGGTTCTGGTTGAAGAGAGTGACGCTCTTAGTCCAATACAGTACTAAATTTGCTATAACGGTTGGGAGGTTGTTCTTTCCGGAGAGCCGCGCGGATTGTTGTTCCGAGGTCTCCGCTAGGTCTCCCCTACCGCCACCTTGGGATGTCGCTACTCCAATTCAGTGTTCTTTTTGGGTGGCCATGTGATGCGAGCATCATCTTCCGCCAGCAAAGTAATCAATGTGGGTGAGAGGTGTGGTTTAGAGGTAGTCCGGGAAGATGGCGGGCAAATTAAAATGGCCTGAGATCACCAAGAGGTGGAGAGGAGGAGGTCCAAGCAAAGCTTGGAGGGGAAAGAGGTTGCAGTGATGCCTTGAATATTATGTAAAGTGAGAGAGGGTGTTTAATATGGAAACTTGGTTGTATTGTTTTTATTGTTGTTGTGTCTCGCTGCATATACGATGACGTTATATAGGCCGCAGGAGTAATTGGAGCCCAAGCAAACTGTTGGACAGGTGGCTCGTTTCTCCTCAACTCTGCCAGAAGTGATATAAGCCCTTTCTGCCGTCTGTGGCTTGACGGCAGGCGGAGAGCCGTTTCATGGCAGGCAGAAAGTAATGTTTCGTATATGCATCGGATGACATTGAAACGTAAGGTCATGTTGCCTCCTTCCTCCAAGCTGGTCGAGATGGAGTTTGTCTTAGAAGAAGGAACACGATCTCGATGATCCATGGACCTCAGCCGCAGTCCAGGTATCCTCTGATGATCCCGAGCAGTAGTGCCTAGGTCGCTAGCTCCCAACCTAGCATTCGCAAGTAGATAAATGGGCCATGGGCCCACCTTAGTGTTTAAGAGAGCAGGGCTCGCCTCAAGCGACCAAGTAAGGAGAGTGGGCCGCAAGGCCTATCGATGTTTAAGAGAGGGGCTCGCTTCTGAGCGATCCAAGTAGGAGGTTGGGCCGTAGCCTATCCTCAATGTTTAGGAGAGCCATTGTTTACTTCAATCCAAGTCCAAGTGAGCCGGGAGCTGATTTGTATTGTTGTTTGGCCTTGGGAGGCCGAGGTAATGGAAGGACCATGGCCCTGGGGCCATGGTGCTGCCTGGTTGCAAGGCTCTTCAATATTAAGATATATTTGGCTTATAATGTATGCTCCCGCTTAGGCTGAGCATATAGTCTTGGTTGCCTTGGCACATGATGCGCCCGTAGGGCTCGCCATGTAAGCAAACATACGCTTTGCCCGACGTGGTGCCCTTATTGTGGTCTGGCCACGTGGGTGGGGTTTTTGGGGTGAGTGGCACCCTGTAGGGCTTACCACATATTGAGCTGTAGCGAGTACCCACACCGGCATAACTGTTTTGGGTCTCTTTTTCTCACTATGTACATGCAAAAGAGCATATTACTTCTTTCTTGAAGTTTTATTAACAATTAGCAAAATTCTATATTGGCAGAGGAAACAAGAGTCGCTTCGAGAGAGCATCAAACGACACGAACACTTTCTTGCTTGCAACTAGGCCTGAAACAAGGCAGAAGGTTTGGTTCACTTACTCTCTACAACTTGACTAAGTACTTGTACACTATGACAAAATCTCCTGTTTCGTACAAGTTGTGATTCAACTTTCATCTCATCATTGGCAGGTGTTGGATGTAGGATGTGGATGGGTGGGCCGTTAAGAGAAATTTCTAAGATTCAGGTAAACCGATGAAATCTTAGGTTTAATTATGTAATTTGCTTTGCATTTTGTCTTCTTCTTTTTCTTTTTCTTCTTCTTCCTTTTTTTGTTTATATATATATATTATCATAGCATTTGGTCTCTCAGATAATAGTTTGAATTGTTTTTAATACGAACAAGGCACTTCTAATTATGTTTGTTAATGTTGTATATTTCACTTCCAACAATTCCAACAATTTTTTCTCCCACATTTGTTTAGTAAGTATAAAATTGAAAGACTGTTCTTAGGTTGCCGGTCGCCTCACATTCTACTTTTTGGCTACATGATGCAAATTTGGATTACTTAGGACCAATAATCCTAAAGTTTCTTCATTTGCCCAATCTTATCTTTTGGACTTACGAAAAGTTTGAATTTATAAGGTAAATAGCAATTTTTTTTTTTTTTTTTGGGGGGGGGGGGGGGGGGTGTTTCAAATAGCTACTTTATATGTTATAGAAAGTTTCATATGGTATTGGGACTCCAAGAATTAGCAAGCTGTAGTTGTGCTTGAAATATCTTCTTTTCTCTACTTGACTTCTCTTATTATCTGGAGTGTCATGGTGTAGTCATATGTCATATATGTGTCCTTTAACACTTTATCTTTGCACATCATCTAAGCTTTACCTGCATAGTTTCATTATCCTCTTAAGATCCTTGATTCAATTTGAAGCACTTTTGCAGTAAGTGGATTACTGATTGATTGTTATAATAACGAACTTCTCACATTGTTACAAAATTGATCCATCTGTATCCTCTTAGAAAAGGGTATTGAAAAATAAATAAATAAATAAAAATGCCTCCCACATTTAACCTCATGCATTAGCCATAAAAATGATGCAAAACAAATCTGTGCCCAACAAAGTGGCATTGCCACATTGGGAAATTCTGTGGTACACACCCCTTTGAATGTGTACCATATGCACCCTAATTACGACCTTTGTGGTTTTTGGTTATTACTATACAAAAATTATACTTATAATACTAGAGTTGTAATTTATATATATATATGATACTAATAAAATATTTTAATATTTAGATTGGGTAACAAATTATATATATTATCTAAATGGTCTGGTTCAATTCCAACTGAATTCGTAACTATAAAACCACGAACAAAATCGTGAAGTACGGTTTGGCCATTTAAAAAACCAGAATCAAATCATGCATTAAGAAAACCAAACCAAACTGTTCGGTTTACTAGACTAGTTTACGGTTTTTATGCTCAACCCTAGTGGTGTTAATTATAACTCATTGTGATGTTGGTTATGACCCAAGAATTCTTTGGTTATACTGTATGTGGTGTTTGGTTATAACTCATTACTTTAATTTTTGGGTATATACTAGGTACGCCTAAGTACGCCAAAAATTAAGAATAAAAAATTTAGATATGTGTTTCGTGTATCCAGTACGTATATAGAAGTACTATATGAGGTACCATATTCGGGTAAGTATCCGGTATGGGTATGGCATATTTTTCGAAGTACTCATGCCTCATAGTTTGTGGCCCTAAGTTATGAATGGCAAAGTTATATTTTTTGTAATGAACAAAAAGTTACATTTTTTGTACTAAAAGTTATACTTTTGTGGTAAAAGTTATACTTTTTGTATAAGGTGCGTGCGATATGTACCCTTTTTAGGGTGCACATGGTTGCCTTTCCCTATATATTGTATTTGTCAGAGAAAGGTGCACATCAACTTCAAATTGCACCATTCACCCTGGTAAAAGATAGGAAAAGCTGTCAGTGTGATCTTACACCTTTGCATTGCAGCACCTACCTTTCTTATTTTCTTCATTTAATTCAGGGTCATGATAGGAGATAGGCAAGATTTGTACCAAATTTTCTACTTCTTTCTACAGTTTGTTGTGGTTCACCATCTCCCTTTTCTCTCTCTTTACTTCTCTTTTCTTTCCCCTTACTGTTTCTGAGAATCACATTAGACCTCCACAAAATTGGAAACTCAAACTTTTTTTTGTTAATTTTGTGCATTTTTTCAAGTTATAGCACTGATATTGATGACCTTGTGTAGTGATACATACGTTACAGGGATAAACAACAATGAGTATCAAATAACAAGAGGAACAGTAAGTAATTTTCATGTTGGTGTATAACGGAACTATTTCTTCATATCTGCATTGATTTTGAATACATACTATTATAGTGGAATCTCCTAGTTAAAATTCAACTATCTTTCCTGTTCCTAACCACTAAAACAGTTAAGAGTTTTTTGCTTGTTTATATGCTTTGAGTGCTTTGGTTGCTCTGCAGGAACTGAATCGCATTGTAGGAGTGGACAACAACTGCAGCTATGTGAAGGCTGACTTCATGAATATGCCATTTTCTGAAAACAGTTTTGATGCAATATTTGCAATAGAAGCTACCTGTCATGCACCAAATGTGGTATGCTGTCAGAATGCTTATTAGGTTCATGTGTAAATTTGTCTAATCTTACATATCGGGTTGTATAGGTCCCTCTATTTATATATAATTTGTTTAATCATATATATATATTTTTTTCCGTGTGTGTGGGTGGGTGGGTGTTAACTAGGTGGATTGCTACAAAGAGATTTTCAGAGTGTTGAAGCCTGGCCAATCTTTTGCTGCTTATGAGTGGTGCATCACTGATTCTTTCGATCCCAACAATGAAGAGCACCAGAGAATCAAGGTTCTACTGATTCAATATGCCTTTTGACTTGCTTTCTCTGTCGGAAGACAAACTTAATTTCTTTGGAAACAGGGTGAGGTTGAGCTTGGTAATGGACTTCCAGATATCAGGGTCAATGAAACAATGTCTTGAAGCTCTGAAACTTGCACTCAAGAGGATTCACATTCACTAATGTAAGTTGTAAAAATTTACGGAACAAGCACGGTAAAATCACATTGTTACAAAATTGATCCATCTGTATCCTCTTAGAAAAGGGTATTGAAAAATAAATAAATAAATAAAAATGCCTCCCACATTTAACCTCATGCATTAGCCATAAAAATGATGCAAAACAAATCTGTGCCCAACAAAGTGGCATTGCCACATTGGGAAATTCTGTGGTACACACCCCTTTGAATGTGTACCATATGCACCCTAATTACGACCTTTGTGGTTTTTGGTTATTACTATACAAAAATTATACTTATAATACTAGAGTTGTAATTTATATATATATATGATACTAATAAAATATTTTAATATTTAGATTGGGTAACAAATTATATATATTATCTAAATGGTCTGGTTCAATTCCAATTGAATTCGTAACTATAAAACCACAAACAAAATCGTGAAGCACAGTTTGGCCATTTAAAAAACCAGAATCAAATCATGCATTAAGAAAACCAAACCAAACTGTTCGGTTTACTAGACTGGTTTACGGTTTTTATGCTCAACCCTAGTGGTGTTAATTATAACTCATTGTGATGTTAGTTATGACCCAAGAATTCTTTGGTTATACTGTATGTGGTGTTTGGTTATAACTCATCACTTTAATTTTTGGGTATATACTAGGTACGCCTAGGTATGCCAAAAATTAAGAAAAAAAAATTTGGATATGTGTTTCGTGTATCAAGTACGTATACAGAAGTACTATATGAGGTACCATATTCGGGTAAGTATCCGGTATGGGTATGGCATATTTTTCGAAGTACTCATGCCTCATAGTTTGTGGCCCTAAGTTATGAATGGCAAAGTTATATTTTTTGTAATGAACAAAAAGTTACATTTTTTGTACTAAAAGTTATACTTTTGTGGTAAAAGTTATACTTTTTGTATAAGGTGCGTGCGATATGTACCCTTTTTAGGGTGCACATGGTTGCCTTTCCCTATTTATTGTATTTGTCAGAGAAAGGTGCACATTAACTTCAAATTGTACCATTCACCCTGGTAAAAGATAGGAAAAGCTGTCAGTGTGATCTTACACCTTTGCATTGCAGCACCTACCTTTCTTCTTTTCTTCATTTAATTCGGGGTCATGATGGGAGATAGGCAAGATTTGTACCAAATTTTCTACTTCTTTCTACAGTTTGTTGTGGTTCACCATCTCCCTTTCTCTCTCTTTACTTTTCTTTTCTTTCCCCTTACTGTTTCTGAGAATCACATTAGACCTCCACAAAATTGGAAACTCAACTTTTTTTGTTAATTTTGTGCATTTTTTCAAGTTATGGCACTGATATTGATGACCTTGTGTAGTGATACATGTTTAGTTGAGAACCAGATAAATGACCTGCAAACAAATTTTAGGGTTCACCATTGATTGTGAAGACCATTTAAATTACACACTGCATAGTTTTTTTTTTGGTTCCAATTGTGTTGCCTCTCTCGAAGTACTTACACTTCTCGGTTTTGAAGCATTGATGATTAATGCAATTGACTTGTATAGGAATAACATATTCACTCCGATGTACTTCTTTCTTGCCCGTAAGCCTCATTCATAGGCCACCAAACAGGCAGTGCATCAGAAGCTGGAAAGTTATATGACATTGTTATTGTACTATCGCTTCTCTCTCGTGGGTTTTATTGACATATTGACAAGTAAGCCCTGTTTACTCTTTTGCTTCTTCCATTATTTTTTGGAAAATTGGAACAGTAGAGTTAATTCTCTTCTAATTGTAGACCTATTTTTCTTGTATCAACACTAAGAAGTGAGAATGAGAACAATGAAAATGTTCCGGTGGATTTACTATTGAGCTAATGTGGCTTTGGAAATTTTCATTCTATTGAACTTCCTGCGTACATTGCAAATGCATAATTAAACCTTGCTGGGATTTTTTATACTAAATCAAATCGAAACGCCATGCATGGATGTTATGAAAGCAAACAACTAATTCCATGCAAAAGACTTTTTTTCCCCACTACTCCTGGTTCTTCTCGGCTTCCGGACTTTTTCTGGACTACGGTATAAGAAAGCTGAACCCATGTGCCGGGCTGTAAACGAAATACGTTGTTCGAAGTTGGTTTTTAAGTTGAACAACCTATTGCTGGACACGCGTAATTATTTTTTGTTGTCCATGTCCATCTAAGTTTGTCGAGCCAAGTTTAGAAAATTAACGAGTTTGAAAATGTGTTAAAATTTGATTTGTTTAAATTATGAGCCACTTTTGAACGAGTTGAACACAAGTTGAGCTTGAGTAGTTTGTTATGCTTTACAACCTCACATACGGAGAGGTGGATGTAGAGTGAAATTGAATGGCCTGATTGGGAAAGTTGCAATAAGCCTATGCTCCCAATTACACAGATCAAAGAGTTAGATTGTTAGCCGTGATTTATACTTGTGAGCTTGTCACTGTATCAGATCAAGCAGACTTAACTGCGGCAAGCGAAAGTTTGTTTATGCAATGTGCACATACAAAAGAGTTGATTTGTGTAGTGGAAGCATTCATAAAATAAATACACACACAAAAGAGAGAGAGAGAGAGACGTCAATTATATGTGATTGGGCACACAACCTCCGTCCACGAATATAAAATCTTGACTATATCAAAATATTAATGCTAGGGATATTAACACTTCTATTAACATTTTTAGTAACACACACAAGCTTGGGTGGGATCAACCATCTCTTGGTGTGGGATTTACATAAACTCGTGCGTTAGTAAGATTGTTAATAAAAGTGTTAGTATCAAAATAATGGGTATACAAGTAAGATTCACTCCACTCACTATAGCTACTCTCAAGTTATGTTTGGATCATGGATTTAGATAGAGATTTAAAAAAGAAAAAAGAAAAAGTGGCTTCTGATTTTTTATTTTTTATTTTTTTCAAATTTTTACCTAATTCCATAATTCAAACACAATCTGAAACTCTGCACTCACTACCAAGTAAACAAAAACTCTTCCCACACAACAGTGGGTATACACAAACGCTTACCACTCAATAGTGGGTATGCACCTGGAGAGGCTCTCTAGAGAGACTCGTGTTGAAGATTGGCTCATATTTGGCTCAGATTTTCTTTCTCAACGATGGCTACTAATTGAAGGAAAAAATGAAGAAGCTAGGCATTCAGCCGAGCTATCCATGATAGAGTGACTGACTGTGGGTGGTTGCCATGAATGTTGTCGGTGGCTTGTTGAAGACTTTGGCCTTCCCATTGCATCCATAAATGGTTAGTGAATGGAAGGGGTTCAGTGTGGTGAGTTGAAGAGAGAATACAGAGCAGAGAGAAAGAATTATAGTGTGTAATTCTTTGTTCCAAATTTAGTGAATTTCACTGCCTGTGGACGTAGGCGATTTTCTGAATCACGTAATTTTATGTGTTCTTGCTTGTGTGCTTGTGTGTGATTGTTTTCTGCCTCCTAGGCACAACAATTCGTGCTCTCTTATAACTCATCTTTCATTTCTCTCAATAGGTCTATTTATAGAATGTGTAAGGTAGTATGAATACACTGGTCAAATATTAACCAAATTTCCTCTTTCACACAAAATAGGGGAGCTTCTATTTACACACACCCATTACACTCTATATATATCTTTTTCAATAAATAATTGGTTCGGAAGTAGCATTTCGAAAATAAACAACTGGTTTGGAAGTAGCATTTTGAAAATAAACAACTTGTTCGGAAGTAGAATTCTGAATTTTTTTCATTTTTTCGACATTCAACTTCCGAATGTGTTTATTTGATGTCCATAATAGTAATTTTACTTAAAAATAAAATTATAATAAAAATAATTATTATTAAGTGTGTGCAAAGAGGGGAATGGGAATGTGCAAATAGAAGCTCCCGAAAATAGAGATGGCTTCCATCCAATTTGTCAAGTCACTACAATTAACCACAATTATGTTCAACCATTGCAATGGACTACCATGCGCGGGTGGACCAATCTCAACAACAGGAACGAAATCTGAATTTCATTATGAGAAGGGCTAAAAGAACAATAATTTTTTTTACCATATACACAAATACACATGTATGTACAATATGATATATAAATTGTATATATACATAGAAAAAAAAATTATATACCATAGAAGCAACCTCTAATGGGATGAACAAGTTTTTTTTTTATGGAAAATAGAAAGAGAATGCAAGATGGGAGAAGAACGAAATATATATTTTTTATACTGGAGGGTCATTTTATGTATAAAATGGTATATATATATTTAAAATACTGTGGCAAACAGTATTTTTCACAAAAACAGAGGGGCCATAGCCCCCTTTAGTTTTCTCTTAGTTCCGTCCCTGCTCAACAATCACCCTTTCTACCCAATGTACAAAATTTTTACCTCATCTTATGAATGATATAATGCATTAAAGATTAAAAAAATAATTTGATTAAATTTTGAATACAAAGGATCTATGGCTAAGACAACCACAACCTTATAGCGGAAAGCAAAGATAAAGAAGGTTACAATATTCATATCTTCTCTCTTTAAAATTCTTTCCTGACATTAGCTCTAGTTCAAAAAGAGCACACGAAACATCTTATCATTCTCTTTGTTCTCATGGATTGGTAAAAATGCATACGATCGTAGGATATTCAATGTGAAAACAAAATCCCAAAACCCAAATTCTAAGCTTAAACTCTAACGCTAATCATCATTATGATTTATTTATTTCTAATTACTTTATGCCTAACTTTCTAAGCAACCACCACTTCGATTAATTTTTATTTTTATTTTTTACATTGATTGAGGCCAGATTATGAATAAATCAAGAATTTTACACGACACGTGAAATATAACCACATTGTGTTGAATGCCATTGTGGCACCACATGTCCATGATTAAGTGATTAAATGATTTTATTTTACTTGATCATTCTCATG